CACTGGCTTGCTGGTCTTACACTGCCTGTTCTATCAGAGGGACGAAAAGTCCAGCGATCCCACACTCCTTCTGGGTCTGTCACTCTCTGGGAAGCATGAAGGAACCATGAGAAGGCAGGGACTGAGGAACAGAAATGAGGCTGCACAACAATCACCTACTTTGGGGCCTGCCGTGTCCACGGGCAAGGCCGAGGGTGGGGAAGGGGCCTCTGTGAGGCCAGCTCACCGCACACTGCCTGGCCTGGACTCTAGACTCCGTGGTCCTCACCTGGATGTGCATCTCTTGGAGTTTCTCTCTCTTCCCCCCAGGTCTCTCTGTCTCGTTCCAAATGGCGTATTTTATCAGGTTTGAAAGGTTGTTGCCCTGAAATTCCAAGAAAATGCAAAGCTAAGGCTTGCTTCTGAGGTATAAAAAAAGAATGTGAAAATGCAGCCCTAATCCCATGACTTTCAGGCGTTTGAAAGACAGATAAGGAAAAGATTCAGGACTGGTTAAGTGAAACTATTTTTCAACAGTTCTAGAAAAAAAGGATTTAACCTGCATACCAAGACCAAAAATATCCTCTCTTCGGGGAACAAGAACACTCCGATGAGTTAAGTTTCAATTACCCAGAAGTTCCCCTTACCCACGGAGACTAGGTTCTGGAAGTTCTCCAGCATCACATCTTGGTACAGCTCCCTCTGGGCGGAATCCAGCAGCCCCAGCTCCTCCTTGGTGAAGACCACGGCCACATCCTTGAAGGTCAACGGCTTCTAAAATGTGATGCGCCATTAACACCAACACCCACTAGATGAAAAGTCAACTTGGCATCACTAACAAAAGCAGACAGGAAAGCAGAAAGTTGTTTGGTATGGCAAGTTACATCAAGTTTTATTAACGTCTGGTGCCAGTAATTTCAATTCTAACCAATTCATCTTCCACGGTTATCCAAAGAGCAGAGCAAAGAGCATCCTTCGCTCAGAGTGAGCACTTCTGAGGGCCTTTCCTGGGGCTGGAGTGGCTGAAGCACAGGGTCTGCACATTTTACAATTTGACTCGGACTTGTAGACGACCAACTCTTCCTCCAAAAATACCATGAAAACTGACAGTTCCAATGGCGCCTAATTTCAGAGTAGCCATGTCTGCACACACCCCCAAAATGACCTTCTCTGCCAGAATGGCTGTTTTCTGCCTGCCAGCCCTCACCCCTCTGTCAGCAGTGGGGCAAACAGCCCCTGCCCCCTCCACACACACAGCTTCTAGGAGCTTCCTTGTCACACTTGACGGGCAGCCAACGTTGTGTTACAGCAACCATCTCCCAGCCGGGTGAGACCTCCAGAGCAGTGGTTCAAACCGGGGAATTTAAATCATACCATGTCATCCACAGCTATGAACTACGGCCTGTTTTTTAAGTGAATGGCTTCAGTCCAGTGAGGGAAAAAAACTCGGCAGTGATAAATTCTGAAACACAGTGACGGCCCTGGCCTGGGCCACACAGCAGCGACGGGGCCAGGGCCTGCGTGCAGCCCTGTTCTAGACCACTAGGCTGCTTCTTCCCTTTCTTCTCCCTCCTTTCTTCTCCTTTCTTTTTTTTTCAGAGCCACTGTATTTTAACAACTTTCCTATAAAAGCCAAGATGTGTGTTCCCAGGGGATAAGAAAATGAGAAGAAACTTCCAGCTATGAGGTGAACATGTCCCAGGGGTGCAGGGGTCACGGTGAGCACGCAGGGGATCCAGTCAACGGTACCGGAACAACTCTGGTGACAGGGGGTAGTGGTCTCACTCAGGTGACCACTTCATGATGTATAAAAAACACTCAGTTACTAGACTCACACCTGAAACTCATATAACATTATACATTAACTATGACTCAATAAAAGCTGAAAAAAATGAGAACAGAAAGCAGATAACACCAACACCTTATATTTACAGCACACCCACTGTAAGGTAGGTACGAGCCTACGTACTTTTTTTTTAACGAACTTTATTTCTTTATTTATTTGGTGCGGGGAGATAATTAGGTTAGTTTATTTATTTACTTATTTTAATGGCAGGACTGGGGATTGAACCCAGGACCCTGTGCATGCTAAGCACGCGCTCTACCCTTGAGCTATTATACCCTCCCTGCCCCTCCAAGGCTAAGTACTTTTCTATACCTTGTTTCATTCTATGCTCACAGAACTCACAGCAGATGAGAACTTTCTGGAATGCTGGCAATGCTCTATTGTCTTGGTTGGGTCAGTAACTACTCACAAGGCAGTCGCTATTGCTTCCTTTTCACAGATGAGCAAAGTGGGGTCTCAGAAAGGTGAGCACTGTTTGTCCATGAACACACACCTATTAAGCACAGAGTCAGGACTGAACCTGGGCAGCCTGACTAACCATGCGGTAACCACCCTGCTGCCCCACTGCCCCAGGGAGATCAGAGGAGCACAGAGCAGAGGAGCCCACGTTCTTGGTTTGGAGAAGGAGTGTCACCAGCAGAACACACTTCCCGGCAGAATCTGAGATCAATTTCAAGACTAGAGCCAGCGTGAGGGGGAGGAAACTTGGGGCGGAGGCAGTCAGGTTAGCAATTCATTCAGCAGATGTGGACCGGCCACTAACTTCCAAATCTTTATAGCAGCCCGGCCTTCCAGAGCAGATTCCTGCCAAATCCAGCCACCACTTGGGTGTCTAAAAGGTATATTGAGACAAAAAAAGCCTCATTAGAATTAAGTCTTTGAGAGGGGAGGGTATAGCTCAGTGGTAGAGTGCATGCTCAGCATGCCCGAAACCCCACGGTTCAATCCCCACGTACCTCCATTAAAAAAAATAAAAAAAAAAAGAATTGATTCTTTCCTCCCAAACTGATCTCTCCTTACCCCATGGGAGTAAACAGTACCATCTACCTTAAAGTTATCCTGGATTCTTCCCTTTTCCTTTCTCACACTATTCATAAAAAAAAAGCCTGTCTATTATGATCCCCAAATACCGTTCAAACCTACCCACTTCGCCCCATCTCTGCTTCCACCTCTCTAGTCTGACTCATCGTTATCCTTTGCTTAATGATGCAGATACTTTTCCTCAGCTCAGCCCGTCCCTTAAAGTACTTGAAAGCCATTGTCTTGTCAGCCCCGTGAGGGCCGGGATGTTGTCTGGTTTGTTCTTTGATATCCCATCAGTGCTCAGAAGGTTTGGTCTACAGTACGTGTTCAATAAACATTTGCTGAACGAATAATGAAAGGAAACATGAACAGACCAATAACCACACAAATAACTGGAAAAAGTCGTTTGAGATCTACCATGAAAAAGAGCACCTGGTTTGGAGAACATTACAATTAAGTTTTAGCCAAACTTTAATTTTAACATTATTCATTTTTTCTTCATAAATATTTTTTCACCCAACAAAGATGCTGATGGGTACACATCCTTTTGTTAATGTTGGGCATTTCAGGGAGGGCAGAACTGGAAGGGGGAGCTTAATTTTTTTTCTTACAGATCTTGGTATTATCTGACTTGTATGAAATTCTATTTTGAAGATTATAATAAAATATATGTAAACTGGAATTATTCACATGGCCAAGCTGCACAGGCTTAATACTATGAGTTAGTAAGATGGACAATCCAAAAATATCTCCATGGTAGTCCCACAGTATCCCTTTTATGTGGATAAAAGCTGGGGTCACCAGGAGGAAAGTCTCGTAACTGTAAGTCACAATGGCTTTGGAAGTAGTTTAAAAAACAGTCTTAACACCTGAACTCAAAAAGTATATTCACTAGATTTTTTTTTTTTTTTTTGGTGAAAGGGAAAACCTTGGTAGGGGAAAAAAAACCGAAAACAGAATTTTTGAATTGTAAAGAAAAAAAAAAATCACTGCTATGATTGGAAAATAAAACAAAACAAAAAAACCCCAAAACCTCAAGAGATGAGCTAAACAGCAGAATGGACACCAGTGAAGAATAAGCCAGTGAACTGGAAAACCGATCAGGCTCCTGCAACGTGGTAGAAAACGGCGAAGAAGAGAATAAAAGTTAAAGAATAGGGAAGATGGACCCAGAAGTTAAACCACTTATCACAGGAGTTCCAGGAGGGCCAAATGAATAAAACACTAGTAACAACAGACATCCAGGCAGAAAATGCACTAGTCAGCGCCAGAAGACCACAGAACAAGCACAATAAAGAACAAGGGTCACTGATTTTCAAAGATCCTTGAAAGTGACACCCAGCCAAGCCTTTGTCAAGTATAGGCTTGACAGACCTTTCTGGGAAAAATGACCAGAATACACGTGGCTCACTGGAAGATGAATGGAGAAGGCAGGATACAAAGACCAGCACCGCATTTCACGCCTAGAGAAAATGAAGCAACTTACGCAAAGTTCCGCAAGTGAATGTAAGAATTTTAAGCCCAATTTGCCACTGGAGCATAAAGGCAACAAAGACTTCTTTTTTTTTTAATATGCACTGCACCTTCTGTTCTTTTATTTGGGGGGGGGGCAGCGGGGTAATTACTTTTAATGGCGGTACTTGGGATTGAACCCAGGACCTTGGGCAAACTAAGCACGCGCTCTCCCACTGAGCAATACCCTCCCCACACAACCGACACTTCTTAAGCAAGGAAGAACTCAGAGGATACAGCATCCATGCCATGAATCTTCTTTGGAAAAAAATCAAGCAGTGGATGAAATTAAGCCAATCCAAAGATAAACCACAACAGAGCCAGGCCTGAAGAAACAGTAGTAAAGGACAAGTGGTGAGCAACGACTTACACACCTAGAACTGAGACGCGCCAACGGCGGGCATCAGGGGAGACACATCAGAAGGGAACAACGACAGTAATGATAATACAACATCAGGAGGTGGTGGGAAGTAAAAAATGTATCTTCAGCTCTCATTACAGGGAGCTCACCAATAAGATTTAAAATTAAAGCAAGTGAATCAAACTTTCAAAGTTTTTTCCCACAATCTCTTTTCATAAGAGAAAGCTTTATAAAATATCATGTCTTGAAAAAAGTCCGTAAAATTCTGCAACTGCTTTTCCCCAATTTAAAGACACATTAACATATATACATGTACGTACCGAGAGAGAGAGAATATATTTTCATGCCCTAATACTTTCACCCACTTTATCTTACTTGATAGCAGCATGGGATCTAGATATGAGGACAAATGAAACCATAATAATCCAGCAGTGCAACATCAATTCAATGGATGGTCACGGAGTCCATGCCACCAATTTTTTTCTTTCTGTTACGAACAACACTGCAATGATCATTCTTTGAACACCTGCTCTGATTCAGAATAAATTCTTGGAATGGGACATACTGGCGCAGAGGTTTGCAGAACTTCCAGAAAGGCTGAAAGGCCCCTGCAATTGTGTGGATTTCTCCATGTGTTCACTAACAGTGATCTTTCAAATCTTTGGTCATCGAGAAAAAGAACCGTAACTTCTTTCAATCTGCATCACTCTGACTAGAGGCTGATCATCTTTTCATATGATTATTGGTCATTTGTTTCTCTTCTTTTCTCCCTCCCTGAACACGAATGCTTAGGTTTTTATTCCCAATCCCTCTTTTTAACATAAGGTTATTAAAAGTTTGTGGTCCATGAACCTTTTTTCACCCAATACGCTGACTCTGAACACTGTTCACGGTATAGTTTTTTGGTCGGGTGTATTAATCGGGAAATACAACATCAAGAAACGAATAAGAGAAATGCCCCACTGAGGAGGCAAACCTGGGCAGTGGAGGAGGATTCCTTATTTGGAGGGGCACCTCTCCACATAATACGGGTCAGTCCCTTAGATGAAACTCTTACTGACACGTGACACGTAGAGCAAAAAGGCAAATTACACTGGTCCTACTATCCTGGGTTCAAATCCGGGATTCACCACTTGTTTCTTTGCCTCTGAAATAGGATCATACCACCTTTCTTACCTAGCTAGTTTGGGGATAAATGCACTGAGTAATGTAATGTATTCACCTAACATGCTGGGTTTTTTTCCTCCTCTTTTTCCTTTACCAAGGGAGGGAGGTATGTTTACCCTCTGATGCCTGAAGTGGTGTTTCTGCAGAGAAAAGAAAGCAACCCACCTGAAACTTGGTCTCACCCTCCCCGTCCTGGGAAAGGGCTGAGGCTGGAGGACGCGACCCTGCGGGAGGAGAAAGACCCCTGGAGAAGGGTAGGGCCTGCCTGGCCTCGCCCACTCCTTCCTGAGCCCCAGGAAGAGCTGCTGCCTTCCAGACTGGCTTCTCTTCACCAGACGCAAGTCCTCGTCCGCCTCCCTTCCTCTCTCTCCAGGCCCGCTCGGCTTCTCCCGTCCCCACCCTTCGCTAACTCTCACCTCCTTCCTCATGCCTCGAGGCCCGACTCTCCATGGTCTCCTCTCCTAGGTTTTGGGAGCAGCAGCAATTGTATTTATGCTCTGATCTTCCCAAACTGGAGAAGCAGAAAAGCCAGTGGTTCTTCATTCTTGAGTCTCTCTAATCTCTGACCAGGAGCTTCGGATGGATACAAGGCCCTACTGATGAGCCTGGGGAACTATATTCAATATCTTGTAATAACCTATAATGAAAAAGAACATATATATATCTGAACCACTATGCTGTACACCAAAAACGAACACAACATTGTAAATCAACTAAACTTCAATTTAAGAAAAAAAAAAAAAGAAAGAATAGGAAAGAAAAAAAGGGGTAACAGGAATAGAAACTGCAAAGGTAGAAATACCAGGACTAGATGAGTAAGTATGTGTGGGGATGAAAAGGAGGAGAAGTCAAACATGAGTCAGGGACTGAAGTTTGAGGAAAGTGAGTGAATGATGACATTTTCATCCAGACAAAATGGGGAGTAAAGTTTTGGAAGCTGCAGTGCTGGTCTCTGAGTATCAGAGCTGTGAACTGGTTTGGGTCCAAAGTCTGGCTCAGTCGCTTTGTAGCTCTACTGACTCTAGATGAACGACTAACCTGGAAAGAATTCTTTCTCTCTTATACACATTCACATGCATACATACTTGTATAAAGCTCCCAGTTCAATACGTGGCACAGAGAAAATCCTCAGTAAACTATTATCATTGCTGTTATCCATTCATCCCCAGCACTGACCCAAAAGTACAGGCACCCACCCATTTAACAAACGTACCTTCATGTCTAACTACATCTTGGATGCTATAACGAACACTGGGGATGCAGCAGGAAATAAGACGGGCAAAGTACTTGTTCTTACGGCGCTTCCATTCTCATGGGTAAACAAGTCTACAAAGAAGGTGACCTCTGATTACAAAAACGGCAAAGAAGAAGAGAAAACAAGCATGATACATTCTTGCTCACCAACTAGCCTGGAACTTCCTTCAGATAGAACATGATGGCAAGTGTGGGAGGGCAACATTCAATCAGGTTGTCACGGACAGTGGCTGAGACCGGCATGAACATAAATCAGCTGTGCAAAGATCCAGGCTGAGGCGAGCACAGAGGCAAGTGCCTGTGCAAAGGCCCTGACTTCTGGTTAAAACATCTCCTGGCCGGTGGGGAGGGGATACCTCAGTGATAGGATGCATCCTTAGCAAGAGCAAGGTCCTGGGTTCAATTCCCAGTGCCTCCATTAAAATAAATAAATAAATGAAAATAAACCTAACTACCTCTCACTCCCCTCCCCGCCTCAAAAAAGAAAAAAAAATCTCCTGGCCAAGTGACATTCCTTAAGCTTCTTAACCTTTCTGAACCTTGGTTATTCTTGCCTGTAACAGGGGACTCATATTATCTGACGTGCAAAGTTGCTGAGCAAATTAAATATATTTACTCATTCTAATATTTATTGA